GGTTCAGCCCTTGGACGTTCCTATGGGTTGCCGAATCGAGGAAACCGCTTTTGAGTTAATTGCAAAAAGCAACACGGACTGCCTGCAATCTGTTTTGGTGCCAGCACTTTGCTGTTTTGTTTGCAGCCAATCTCCACCCTCCCTCCTAGACTTGAGTGTTGAATTCCCTTAGTTGACATACACCGAGGCACCGTAAATGTAACGCATCGGAAGATACAGTGTAATGCTCGTTGTGCTCCTTTTGGTACCGGTGTCATGTGCTGACAGTTTTTGGGGGGTAACATTAAGAGGTCACTTGAATCTATCCAGGAGGAAACAGGGAAAACATGACTGCTTATGGTTAGCTCAGTGCTTAAATATCTTTTCTTGGGGTTTTTTTTGCTGCACATGACTTGTGCATTGTGTCTGCAGCGTGAGCCTGTGAGTGCAAAATGAAGGAGTGTAGCCATCTGGCCATTGTAATATGGGAGGAAGAGTAAGAAGATTTTGGCACAGTGCATTGTATTTAAAAAAGCAAAAATAGAAAACTTAAATTTTGGGCTCAAACATTTTGCCTTTGTGCTGTTTTCTTCGCATTGTCTGCCTCTGCAAAAAAAAAAAAAAAAAAGTGAGGCAATAATTAAAATGGCACTTAGCTGTGAATGGGGGTGTGTGTGTGGTTTGGTTGTTTTTTCCATAGTCTAAATCTTAACTGTGAAACTCCTTGTGGGTTTTTGTACTAGTGTCTTATGCAGGCAGGTTGCTTAGCTAATTTTTTTTCCCCTTAAGAGAACCCTTGTTGTTTTATTTTTTTTTTTTGTTGTTGAGCTTAAACACTGACTTTTTGTGGAGTCACTGTCCTCTCAGTAAGTGCATGGGTAACAGTATTGCACTACCATCCGGAGTTCAAATAGTATTGCCTTGACACCGATATCTGTTTAATATGTCAGGATGTAAGTCCATGAGCACTCTCGGAGGGAATGCGTGTTTATCAAGACTGACAAAGTTGTTCTTCCATGGCAGAATTTTGGATAAAGCTGTATGAATACGGTAGCCACTATTTTAGTGCATGTGTGTCTATGCAATAGTAGCTCTGTACAGTCAGAAAGGACTATTGTGACCATTTGACTTAGTCTCCTGGCTGTAGAGTTTCCCCTGATAGTTTCAGTCTCATGTTTAGCTGTATCAGAGGTCAGTGAATACTGTGGAAGGCTGGTGAATCAATCCAACACCCCCTTTTAATTTAGGAATGAAACTTTAATAAGGGGCTCCCAAGATTTTGACTTGTAGTCTTCCCCTTTAAACTGATGGCTCTTATTAGCAGTGTGTGTTGAGCTTGATTTTTTTTCTTCCCTAGGTTACAAGGTTTTAAAAATGATTTCTTCAGGCTAACATCCCTATCTTTTCTATCGAAACCTTCTAGCGAGCTGTGGTCCTACCTGCATAGTAATAACTACCATGCAGGGAATAAGCAAGTTTTCCATGTCCCATTGTTGGATTGAAAGGGAAAAAGTCTGTCTTCTGCCCTTCTACCACATACAGCATTGCTGGATACAGAGCTTCTCGTGGGGATTGCTGTAACACCACAGGGCATGTTCCTGCTAACTGTGCTGGGCAGAGGGTCTGATCCTATACCACTGAAGTCAACAGAAGCATGATTTTGATAGTAGCCATGACTTCAGAAAATTAGGTAAAATTACTCACCTGCAGAGACATTTGCATGGGGACATAGGTATATGGCAACTGAGACTGTAACGTATAGGGAAGAGACAGACCTTAGATATGGTTGCTTTGGATATGGTAGCTTTGAACTTACTGTCCTTTTATACATATATAAATCTCAGTTGTTATGTTGAATTAACATTGACTTTGCATTCAGCATATAATTAAACCTGAAAGTTTAAATCAAGCTTCCTTCATCTCTTGCAGTTCCTTAAAAATGAATTGCTGCTACCTCCTTATCAAGCAATGGTCCAGCACAGTGTGCTCTGGGAAGATAGCTATTGATTGGCTTTTTAGTATGATCCATTTTTCTTTTGGGCAAAGACAGCAGGATGGTTGCATGTAACGGTCTAATAGTCATTACTCTTCCATAAGAAAAGAGCATAGAAGTGCACCTCCTTTGAAGTCCACATTATAGACGCATAATCAGGTTAATTTTTTAAGGCTGTCTGAACTTTAATAGCATGGAATTGGTGACCTTTGAACACCGTTAGAAAGCTTTGGAAGAGCCAGATAAAAACTCTCTCATCTATAATAAAATTTTGACTTTGTTTTCTTGAAAAATATATGCAGTCATTTGAAAATAGTTTAAAACATTTTAAACATGTTGTTTTTTAGACTCAAGTGCCCTCCTTCCCACCAAAAAAAAAAAAAAAAAAGGAAATATACCAAAATACCTGAAATACTGAGCTGGCTGTGCTGACTTCCTCAAAGGAATCGTAGCTAAGAAAAACCTGTCTGTATATTTTCTTCACAAGATATACGTATTTTTCTTGCTTAGAGTTGCTCGATTTTTTCCATTTGTAAAGTGTAACCTGCTCTGATGCCTCTAGAGAAGAGCACTGGGCTGGCCTTTCCAGAGCTGCAACATGCATGGAGTAGGTCTTGATGGTTGTGAACATGATGGATTTGCTGAGACAGGATAGAGGTCAATTTAATTTACATGCTGTCACCAAGCTTGTTTACACAGAGCCAATATCTGTCCCGGTATAACTGGTTCTGTCACTGATGTTATGCTAGGCCTCAGGTTTTGGCCCAGTCTCAGCATCTTAAGGAAGAAAGAGACTTTTTCCCCCCCTGATTCACTGTATTCTTGCTTTGCATCTATATACATGGTCAGGTTTTGAAAAAGGGCAAACTTATAGACACAGTTCCAGCCATTAGGGCATTAGCTGGGGATCTGAGGGCCCAAGATTCAATGTTTTGATTTGGCACCAACTTCCTGCAAAACCCTGGGTAAGGTACTTGGCCTTTCTGGGTGTGTGCACCCCATTTATAAAGAGGGGATAATAGTATTTCCTTTATAGTATTTCCTTTCCTCACCAGTGTGTTGCAATGATAGCTAAGTTGACAATAGGGAAGCACACAGGTGCTTTGATAATGTGTATTATATAAGAAACCAGAATAAATGAAATGTTGTCAGTAAGTATCTCAACTTCCAGTATCAGTCAGTCATCAGGCATTTAGTTGTATAAGTAATATCAATTGTGCCTGCATAATTACTGCTGGAAAACTGTTAGAAACATCTGGCGCTTTGTGAAAAATAAGGTCCACAGTATTTTTGTCAGAGAAAAATAATTCCCTTAAAATAGTAGCTGAGGGCTCCCAGTGCATAGCGTAAAAGACAGCTGGCAATGAGTATGGAAAGGCTGAATTAGACCCTTTGCTATTCATTTTAAGGCCTTGATCCGGCAGTCAAATCTGCATGGCGAACCTGAGCAGAAGTTTGAGGATTAAATGTGAAGTGAATTTTTATGAGCCTGAGAGAGCATTTGGTATGTGAATAGCCATTTGCATTATTGTGAATAATAAGTCAGACTGCAACATTTCAGGGTGTTCATGGAGGCTTGGCACATAGGCACAGCATAATTTTTTTTCCCCCTAATATTAAATCTTTCCTTAATCAAACGTATATGGATGAACTAATTCTGTTACTTCCACTTGGAAATCGTGTCTATTACATTATATATTAATACCACCTATATATAAAAGGTAATAGGTTCAACTAGCTAGAATAAATGGCAGAAATGTTAAATGAAAGTAAAGGACCCAACATAACCCCAATAAGGAACTTCAGCAAAAAAGCTAAACATCTTGGCTTGAAATCTTATTTTAATGTGCTCATTCATGGTAGGGTATTGGGCCACAGAGCAAGTTTTGTTTACCAGCTAATTTTTCTTCTTGAATTTTCTTCCTTATAGCTATAAGTTGAAGCTATATTAGTGTCCCTAATAGCATCATGCTGTATGGTGGTGATAAATTTGGTGTAATGGCCTGCATATGCAGAATAAACAAGGCATGATTTGATGTACACTGTATGTGTATAGTAACCAATTCCTCAGATTCATTCAACATGAGCATCATAAAAAAATAGTTTGTTTAAATAGATTGCTTTCTCAAAGTAACTGTGGTCTACACTTTCACTGTTTCTGGAGAGATTTGGAATGCTGGGCATTAAAGGAGGAAGTCTTTTCAAGAACTGATTAATAGCTATTCCTATATATCCTCCTGCTTAGACCTTGGGCCCATCCTCAAGCCTATCGAGATGAGCAGTATGATTTAGTGAATCAGGCACTGAAGTAGGAGCCAGAGAAACCTGCATTTTATTCCCATCTTTGCCACTGACTTGTTGTCTGGTCTTGGGTAGGTCATTTTATGTCTTTGTGCTTCTGTTTCCCCAAATGTGTCTTATTTAATATTTTAATGAGTCCCCTTAACACAAAAATAACAGTGTGGTAATGAGATTTGCTGATGCCAGAAAGTTGAGAG